AAAGACGTCTGCTCACTCTATAGGTCATCTCAATGACTAAACCCATTCTTGGGTAAAACATGTCAGAGTGAAGAGAATTCATGGTGGGACGATGTGTACCTGTGTACTACAATATGTTTTTTTAGCGAAACTTGCGGTGTGCGACCTAAACTTCCTTCTATCAGTAACAAAATAAGATATTTACTTCAAACGTCTTTATTTTACATGAATGCCCAAATATTTCTGGTGTAATGCTAGAAGGTAAAATGCTTTCACAAATTTACCAGGACTGGTAAATCTTTCAATATCTAATATTTAACGATTTATTGTATTGTTTTTTTTTTCAGATCCAGAGTAGGGAAGATCAAGTCTGTCGGGTTTGTTTCTCAAAAAAATTTGAGAAACCCACTTGAAGTTCCTGAACTTGGAGTTGAACCCCATTAAAGGCTATGCAGAGTGAATCGTGTTAGTCAATTCTGGACATTTGTAGGACTAATATGCTAGCTATTAAGCAAAAGACTTGAGAAGACAGACACTGACATGGGGACATGTACCAAGGTTGAAATATTAAAAAAAAAGAATTAAAAAAAACTCACAGAATCTCTCCCTACACTGAATTGTCAATATAGGTGTTGTAAGGCTACCTGGTTATGAAAAATGGCTGGGTTATCACTAGGTTATCCTTTAAATGATTGCTTTTTATGACTCAGCTGACAGGGTCAAAGGCTATTCATTATAGGGATTCAATGTGAACCCATGAGAGCAGCAAACCTGAATCTCCTCCCTAATCGAGAGATAATATGTACAGTAGATATAGCCATCAGGTTATGTGTTTCATTATAAAAATGGCTAGCCTTTAACGTATTTAGTGTGTTTCTGGGAATTCAGACACCCATGTAATGCATAGTGACTCAGATTTCATTATGGTTTGTTTATTCATCATTCTGAACACTTTGCTGAACAGCTATGTACCACATAACAGAAATGTCACTAGTGACGGGAAGATTAACACTAACCACACTGATGACAAGTGAGAAATGCTTATCATGACACATTCTGCTACAGTGTAAATTTTTTGTTGCAGCTTGTTAACCACTTGCTGCCCAGAGCAAGTTCTTACATTTGCACACACATGATAAAATCTGAATTTGTGGCTAGAAAACAGCTGCATACCCCAAACAATTATATATTTTCTGAAAGCAGAGGCCCCGTAGAATATAAAAATGCTAGTTTAATTTTTTTTATGTTGTATGGTATTTGCGCAAATGTTTATCAAACAAGTATTTTTAGGATAAAATACACTAAAATTAAATTTAGTGCACAGAAACAGAATATAATACCCAATTTGTTGGTAAAATATAAAAGATGGGGTCACGCTGGGTAAATAGATACCAAACATGTCAAGCCTTAAAATTGAAACTGCAAAAAAACTATAACCAACATTTCCCATAGGCGACGCTTTAAACGCTTTTACTGCTCATCTGTACAGACGCCGGATCACTTGTATTTAAACAGCAATCGCAGACTATTTAAAACTGTACCAAGAACATGGCTGCAGCCCCCCGACCCCACTTGAAGAGGTTATAGCAATTGTTACAAAAATATTGTGCAATGGATAGTTCAATCACACAGTGTGGATGCCTCAGATATCTTCAATCTATGAAAGTGACCCTGTTGCTATAGAAAAATGTTTAAATTAAGACATACGTGTGAAATAAGACAGCACATACTCTCCTTTCCTGCTGCCCATACCATCAAGCTGTGGTCTGATGCTGAGAAACCTTCTGCTGAAGTCCATGCACTGGCATTTTCAGCTGCAGTCCCTGTTTATGTATTCTGGCAGTTGACGGTGATGGCTGTCAGAATACAAAAGCCCAGCAGGGAAGATTCCCCAATTCCCCCCTTCCCCCATCTACGCTTTTTAGTGTGAATTGGAGAATTACGCTTTTTTTATTTCAGCGAGTCGTCATTCATCATGATTGACAAGGATCTGCATTGCTGGATGATGTGACTGACCTTTGGATTGCATCGATGGACACTTTTTTTGGGGGGTGGGGCTTACTAAAAAATGAATTGTCAAAAACTGCTTTGTGTTTTTTGTTCAAATAAGGCGTTTTGTGTTTATTTGCCATTTTTTTTACTATTTGGTGAATGAGTACGGCTAACAACTACCCGATACTCATTGACAAGGGGGGGAACCACATCTGGGTGCCCCCTTTCTGAAAGATGCAGATAAGCCCCACTGCCCGTAGACCCCCAAGACCCTGGGACAGTGTTGTGGGTGGAGAAGAGGCCCTTGTCTCCGTCAGCATCCCACACCGGCAGAACCTTACCTGTTCTGCCGGTGTGGGATTTTAGGAGGATCCCACAGACCCAAAGGGTCTGGTATGACTTTGTAAGGGAACAATCGCTTGTGATCCACCTTACCTGTTCTGCCGGTGTGGGATTTTAGGAGGATCCCCCAGACCCAAAGGGTCTGGTATGACTTTGTAAGGGAACAATCGCTTGTGATCCACCTTACCTGTTCTGCCGGTGTGAGATTTTAGGAGGGTCCCACAGACCCAAAGGGTCTGGTATGGCTTTGTAAGGGAACCCCATGCTTTTTTTTTTTACATCGAGGATTCGCTCTGCTTTGGTGACAATTCTCCCTGTTTCGTCTGTTCATTCCGCTGCCTTCAGGTGTTTACTTTGACTGCCTTCGGCTGCAGTGTATGCTTTTGAAAAGAGCGCGAACAGCAGCCATTCGGCTTGGCTGAACTAAATGCTTTCTGCAGCCAAAGTGATCCGAAGGATTGGTTTTATCCTTTGGCTCCTTAGTGAATAACCCCCTAAGTTTACTTTTTGCTCCATGTTTCAATACACAGATATTTAGAGTATAAAAGTAAACATTGTCCCCAACCCCCCACTCCCAAACTGCCCCTTCACCTGAAACATGGGGTTCTTCTCCCCACATGCCCCTGTAATTTTTAATTTGGTGCTGCTGTGTGTGGCTCCACAGGGGTTGGGGGAATAGTCTGAAGGAGTTAAAACATTGCACCCACGATTCACTTATTATGGTTGCAATGCTTTGCAGGCTCAAAAACTTGAAAAATAATACATTCATTTTTTTTTTTTTGACAAATGTGTGTGCATTTATTATTTTTTGGGGGGAAAAGCTGGACTATGCCTTTTTTTTTATTGGAGAAATGTATTGCAAGACTGTAAAAACAGTGGTGATACATCTGTACATGTGGTGTCTCACTCAATGCGATAATGGACCCTGCAATGCATAGAATGGCGGCACAAAAGAAAATCATTGGGTTCTCTCAAAAAAGGATAAAAAACATAAGACAAATGAGGACGTACGCAGCTTATTCCATAAAGTAAACCTTTCATAAGAGAAACCGAGAGCGGCCATTGCTGATCTCCATTCGGACTATGCCTTTAATGAGTTCGGTAGGTGCTGTTGTTATCTGAAAATTGCAGTAATCTACAGTATGCGCTTACTTGCCATATTATGTATTTTGTGGTATATTTATGTAGAAATCAAATCATAAAAATTTTAAAAAGTAGAAATGAAATGTTAAGAACTTCCCTACTGAGAACTGCCATTCTCATAGAAGGAGCAGACACTACAATATGACTGTAGCAAAAGTATAGTAGTTTTCAAGTACCTCCAGGCCTAGTAGCAGGTTCAGGAGCATCATCTAATTCTTACACCAGTTTTCAGAAATTACTTCTGTAGACTGATGTGTTTGTGTGCTGGGTAGGCTTAAGAGGGAATCCCTTCAGACGTTTCTGGCTTTTCTGCAACTAGGCATTTACAAGGGGGTCAACACAGCATCAGAAATATTATAAAGGCATTTCAAGGCCTACTTTTCTATTTTGACTAGAGTTGAATTAAAATAGAACTAAAGCCAACCCTTTTTTTGGGGTCAAAGGAGTACATTTACCCAAAGTCAGCAGATAGTGGGCTACTGACAGTGCAAAGCCACAAAGCAGCCAGAAAAGATTCCAACAATATTGTTGGGATCCACCCCGCTGCCTGATTGACAATTGGCTCTGTCTCTCTAGAGCCAGAGTGAGCTGTGCCTGCTCCCTCTGCTGTCTGTCCCTCCAATGAGCGCTGGAGGAACGGAGAGGGGGGGGGGGGATATTCTGCAGGAAGTGACTGACAGTCACCACTTTCTGAATGGAGAACCCTGTGAGCTGAGTGATCACAAGTTTGTGATTGCTCAGCTCTGAATCTATAGAGCCGCCATGTGACAGCTGCAGGGACTACACTGTAACTCTGTTATTATAGCATTCTACCAAAAACTCAGTGCTAGTGATGATCTGACAAAAAAAACCCCTATAAAAGGAGAACTATGAGGTCAGTGAAAATCACTCAGCCTCATAGTTCGAGCCGACGTGTGACAATGAAATTGTCACACGTTGGCTCAATAGATGGGGAAGTGAGCGAACACATACCGTCGCTCGCTCACTTCTCGATCGTGTCCCTGCAGAGAGCCGTGACTGTCACTCACGGCTCCCTGCAGGGATTCCCCCTCTCCCCTTTCCGATCCTCCAGCGCTGACTGGCGGAACGGCGGGGGAGGGGGCGGGTACAGATGGCTCTGCCTCTAGATAGGCAGAGCCAGCTGTCAATCAGGCAGCTTGGTGGATCTCGACAGTAATGTCGGGATCCGTCCTGGCTGCGGCGGTCTCAGTATAACGCAAGCTGTAGCTCGCGATATACTGAGCTTTGGGTCATGGGAGGATGCTAGTTTGTGTCCTCCTGTGACCTTTAGGAGAACTATTGGGAAAAGCACTGACCCAACAGTTCTCCTTTAAAGTTTTCCTACTCTTGGTAAGAACCCTTACTCTGACAATTTAGAATACTATTCATCTCCATCATATTGACTATTCATATAATATTAATATATTATGAAAAGTTGAGGATAACAGCCATAGTCTTATATCTTAATACATGTGTATGTGTTACAAGTAATGCTTTTGCAATTTGTGTCCTGTAGGATATATATATATTTTCAGATTACTGACCTTTTGCGCTCTCCTCTTGTCAGTCCTCTGATTTTGGTGATAAATCCGGCTGAAATTTGACACGATGACAGGCACTGGAAGGGCAATCACTAAGACCCCACTCAATGAGCAGATAGAGCCAAAGATTTTTCCAGCTATAGTCTTTGGAACCATGTCTCCATACCTGTCAAAAACAGTAAGAGAAAGCAATGGTTAATATTACTTTTCCATGAAGATCTCCCACCAGACATCAGTAGTCTAACGTTTTTAATTTCTAAATAATATATGGTCAAAGAAATGGTGGAACTGGTTTTAAAGAACAAGTATACACACAGAGCTGCTCTTAATGGAAAAGAGATTGTCTTTTAGCTGATTGTGGGAGAACTCCATATGTAGTCACAATATTCACACAAGGAAATAGACCTTATCTTATTTGCAACGTAGGACATAAAACAACTATGCAACAGAGGCTATTCTATAATGTAAAATTCTATATATTTAGTCAAAAATACTAGACATAGGCTAATATCATTGCAATTATTAGCCTTTGTGAAACAACCCATGTACTCAATGATGTTTTCTGTTCTCCTGTGAGATCCACAGAAGTGCTAATACATAAAGTGGAACTCCACTGCATAGGGTTGTCTTTAAGGAAAAAAAGAACTATAGTTCAGTATTACGTGCAGAGACCTATAGCAATCTTTCACTCTGAAATCAGACCAGCACAAGATGGGGTCTGACTGGTTTCTATGGGGTTCTCAGAGCTCTTTACTGAATAAGGCCAACATGCAACCAGAGAAACCAACCTAAGGACTAGTAAACTGCAATGTGTAAAATTTTTGTTTTTGGGTTTAGATGCACTTCAACCCCATTCTTCTTGGACTAACAGCTCCCCAGTTATTTACAAAAACATGAGACGGGGATGTCACATGCACCTGTCCCTAAACTGAATTGTGGGCTAGGCATGGCAAGTTTGTCCAGAAGAGACTTACTCTTTAGGTCTCATTGTTAATATATTTTTATTTCAATGTTTAAATTAGTAATACTTAACATTTGTTAATGGACTGTTTCATTGTGTCCCTTAACACAGAGACACAGTCCCTGAATGAACTCATGATATACAGTACCTTAAAACACAAATGTAAATCTGAAACCATCCTAAACTTGACAGGATTGTGATGATTCATATATAAACCTCTCTCAATCTCCTCTGTGTTCAAAAGCTTTAATTAAAAAAGACAATGCCTCTAACGGAATAATATTATGCATGCTAATCCTTCTAAGAAGCAGGCAAAATCGATGTCAGAAAGGTTAAATTGGGCTTAGTTTGAATTTATGAACTGTTAAACCTTTCTACTCTGGAAGTCAACACTGATTAACTTTTTAAATATTAGAAGGATATATCTATGGAAAATGTTGTGGCAAAGGTACAACCCTGGCAATTCATGAAGCAGTTTTTAATAGACCCCTATTGTGATATTGTCTGTATGCTGATAGCTGTATGCATTTATTACATGTAATGACTGTATTTAGCATAATAATTATTTTTGTATTTGTTTTACTTTTAAAGAAACTTAAACCTTGTAAATAAAAGGTGCACAGTGCTTAGCATAAATGAGTACACCCCAACAGATTTGCCAGAAAACCTTTACTTTCCTTTCAGAATCAACATTTTCTATGGGACACTATACTACAAAATACTCTCACAAATGCAGGCCATTGATTGCAACCTAGATTTGCTAATTTGCACACACAAAAAAGTATTTTTCCTAACAAATTCATTCAAGACCATGTTGCAAAAATAAATACACCCCAATGAAATTCATGGGAGCAAAGCTAAATTTTAGACAACAAAATCCTAATTAACAAGAATTCAACTACAGGTGAGTATAATTCTTCATTAAGCAGGTGTCTATCAGACAGTTGATTATAAAAGGGCGTTACTTAACAAAGAAAACCCCTTCCCATTTCATGCTGTCAACAATGGCGCCACAAGGAAGAGAAATGTCACAAGGCTTGAGAAAGAAAATCATTTATTTAACCAAGAAAGGTGAAGGCTACACGAAGATCAGCAAATCTTTACTTATCAGTCAGAATACTGTAGCAAAAGTGATACAAAAATGTAACAAAGATGGAACTGCAACCATCTCACAGAGACATCCAGGCAATCCATGGAAGTTAACACCTCAACAGGAGCGTCTTCTGATGAGAAGGGTTGAAGAAAATAAGCATGCAAGTTCACTGCAGTTAGCTAAAGAAGTAGAAAGCCAAAGCCTCTCCTAAAATCAAGCCTACAATTTGCCAGAGCCCATGCTGAAAAAGAAGACTACTGAGACTCTGTACTCTGGAGTGATGAGACCCAGATCAATGTTTTTGGAACTGATGGCTTCAAAACTGTATGGCGTCGCAAAGGTGAGGAGTACAGAGAAAAATGCATGGTGCCTACAGTGAAACATGCTGGTGGCATGTGGGACGGCATGAGTGCTGCTGTTGTCGGGAAGCTACATTTCATTGATGGTATCATGAATTCACACATGTACTGCTCTATATTGAAAGTGAAGATGCTACCATCACTTCGTGCCCTCGGTCGTCGTGCACTTTTCCAACATGACAATGATCCAAAACACACATCAGGCCACTGTTGCATTTCTGAAGAAGAACAGGGTGAAAGTTATTCAGTGGCCAAGTATGTCTCCTGATCTGAACTCAATCGAACACCTGTGGGGAATTTTGAAGAGACACAATGAGCAGCACTCTCCGTCCAGCATTCAGGCTCTAAAAGAGGTTGTTCTTGAAGAATGGAAAAAGATAGATGTTGCAATATGTCACCAACTTGTTTATTCCATGCCTAGAAGACTTGGTGCTGTCCTTACAAATCATAGAGGTCACACAAAATACTATATGTAGTAGTTTTTGTTGTGGGGGTGTATTCATATTTTCTTCACCTTATTTGAGTAAAACTGAAGATTCTGTAATCTATGTTATATTATTAACCTTACTTTCATGTAATGAGCTAAACTCGGTTTTGTCAAAATTTTGGAAATTGTTGTTGTGTTCACTGAGATACTGATTAAAATCTTACTGTTTAAAGGGGTGTACTCATTTATGCTGAGCACTGTATATCAGTGTAATAGTTTCACCCAAAAATGTTTTCACTGTCAACATTTCTGAAGCGTTGGAGAAGATTTGTGCACAATAAAAGACAAGTGTTGTTGGGATGGACATAGTTTGTTACTGTAATTTAAGGAATATGCAAACTTTGCTTATTGTCTTCACATGCATGTTGATTTACCATGATATCAGCAACAGTTACAGGAGGGCTTGTTCATAAAACAACACATTTGAGCAAATAATTATATCTAATCTTGCAAATGAAGCAACTGTTAACAAAAAGTATATGTAAAACCAAAACTTTTTTTGTGTTGGATAGAGCAAGCACTGGTTATGACCCCTGGTTTATTTTTTTTATTACTTTGTCTGTGTCTCATATGGGAGATTTCCCTTCACATCCTGTCCCACAGAACCAGCAGAAGGTAAGAGGAGATCTTTCTAAAGTGAGGGGAAATCCCCTCTTAGTTTTCACTAAATCATTGAAAGATTTCCCTAAGCTCCTGAAAACTGAAAATTTTATATTTTCCATCACTTTCTGTACTGGAGATAATGGTCACAAGCACAAACAGTGATGGTTAATCTCCCTAGTGGAGACGCCTACAAATAAAAAACCTGACAGGGGTTCTAACCATTCCCCATTCTTTCCCCCAAAAAGTTTTGGCTGTGAATACAGTTTATTTTTATTCTACTAAGCAAACTAAGATGGTTATTCACAAAAGAGCGAAGAGTTTGGCAGGAGAAGTGAACAATCAAGGACAACATAGCTGAACTGGAAAGTGAACTGGGAATTGGAGAATTTTCCCAAATCCGCTGAATTGTTCACTTCTCCTGCCTTCTTCAGACTCTTCAGCCTTTGGGAATAATCCTGTAAGTATTCTGTACGAGTACATATCCCCCAACACTCATATTCACCTGCATTTCTTGAGCAAAATAGTACTAGTTATATATATTTAACTGGACTTGGTAAGTAGTGTAGTTAAAAATGTATCAGCACTCATCCATGTGACCTCCTTAGTTGGAATGACTGTAGTTTTTGGGAAGGGTTCTAAGAATGGTTTATTATGCGCATGAGCAGGCAATTTTCTACAAACTGTAAAATAAGCTGCAAATTTTTGAAGACTATTAACATGGTAGTGAATGAGACAAAAGCTATTCAGTTAATCTTTGTGGTAAGTTTGTTTTCGTGCAAAACCTTATTAATTGGTGCAGAACCTTATTAATTGAAGCAAACTGCAAAGACATTTACACAAATTGAAAGTATGGTGAAGCATGGTCTCAAAGATGGGAATTATATAGAAGAATTGGAGGATTCACAAGGTGATATTATTAAATATATCAAGAAAAATGTTCAGTAATATTCAACAAAGGAACAGCACCATGTCGAATCATAAGAACACATACTGGTATAAAATAGGATCAGCTCTGATCCAAACAAAATAATAGCGAAGTAATCCTGCAGCATTACAGAATAATGAGAATCCATACAGACAAAAGAACTTCTTAAAATCCCATATGGCAACAACTGACCTAACGTGCCCTTAGGAGCTATACTGTATAAACAAATCCTTCATTATTTGAAAGTTTATCCGCTTGGAACTTTTACAATGTTCATTTTTTGAGGAACATAGATACTTTTTGTTGAGTTCTCACACACATTGCACCTGTGCCTGACCTGAACGCACATCTTAAAATGTGTGCAGATATAAATACTAAAGAAAAAAGTGTCTTGCTAGCTTTATTTGAGAAATGTTTTATATTATTTTGCAATAGGCAGCATCAGCACCACAAGCATGTTGCTGTCAGGAGGGGATACAGTGGTCTATGCAAAGGCCTCTACTCACTATCTGCTGGGGACAAATCCAATGATGTAGTGGCTGAGGATGTTGTTGTGTTGTGTTTGTACTCCTATGGAGGATGTACTTTGGCGCCAGTGATGTTTATGATTTTTTAGAAGTTATAGAGAATAAATAAGCTACGGGAAACCACAAGCAATATTGGTGACTAGTCCTTTGCCCTCTGCTTGCCTTTTGGAGCATGGCTTCCAGAATTCAAATCCTTTTTAACATAATAGTT